TTGGCTCCTGTTCGTTTGACTTGTCTCCAGAGAAGTACCTCATTAGTGTACTCTGGTAAGTCAAGTAATCTTCTAGAATACCTGCTTCATGTCTTGAGTTTTTCAAAATTACTTAATCCTGGAGTGATTCTTACCAGGTACTCTCCTACAAATAGAATACATTAGATCTTCTCTATCTCTTCAATATTTAATGACTCTGGTTTGAATTCTATCTCAGCTCTTGTTTTTCTATATGTTTCTCTAATTATCTCTATAAATCTGACTCTTCCGAAATGCCGTACTGACTCAAAGACTTGAGGTCTTTTTGTTCAAGTCGGGAGATCCTATACTGATATTCTATCAGTACACTTATCTGAAGAAGTAATTTCTGGGTTCTGCTTTACTTTCCCACTTCTCTTGTCTTCTGTAATTTCCTTTTTATATGGAGCTTGAATTAGTTTTTCTTTTTTGGGTTTCTTGCTATTTTCTTGCTTTGCAATCTTGAGATGTTTATCATCTTTTATATATCTGTATTTTTCCTGCGAGTTTTCTTCTTCGAATAACACTTTGTACTATTCGATCTCTTTTCTACTTATTTTATCTTTGAGAGACTCTAGACCTTTCTAATAGTCAAAGCTTATGATTACTCAAGTATTTCCTCTAATGAAGCGCTCTTCTATCTTACTAATATAATTACTTTTATATAGTGTTTCTTTTACAAATTTAATTCGCTCTTCTTTTGTATTGCCTAGTAGTGCTATTGATGCAATTTTCACTTTATATTCTCCTAAATTTTCACATGTATTCTCATTCGGGGCCTACATACTATCTTCTAGAGCATTTCTTTTTGGCTCCTTGTAATTTGCTACTGCATGATTTATTTGTCTCTTCTAATACTCTTTTGAATCATTTATTTCTATTTGTGATATACCTAAGGGAGCATCATCTATGTCTTCTAAGATGATGTCTTTTATTCGGAGGACTAGGTCTTCAATTTCTATATCGAGCATTAATTCTATATCTTGCATATCTTGGGGTGATTCCTTTGCTGACTTGTTAAGGATCTCCTCGAGTTGTGAGTTTGCACCTTCTACTTTTCTCTCATCTCCTAGCAGGATTTCAGTGGCAGTTCTATTTCTGTTTATTTGTTTTCTATTTAAATATTCAAGCTCCTGTTCTAATATTGATTTTGAGCTAGCGCCTTCTTTTCTTTTTCCCTTTGATTTCTGTGGTATTTAACTGAATTCTTCTGTTTTGGTTTCTTTACTACTCTTTGCTTCTTCTTGTATCTTTTCTATAGGCTGTGAGATATCCTCTACTGGTGAATTCTTATTTTCTTTAAGTTCTGCTACACTCTTTTTAGTTTTTTCTGCAGCCCTGAGTTCTTGTTCAAGCTCTTCAAGTACTCTATCCAAAAACTCTCTCTCCTCTTCGATAATTATCTTCTTTATTATTCTACACCAGTTTCTGGTTACTAAGATAATCTTGGTACTTATTCCTGTGATTCTTGAGACATATATATCTATCTTTTCTTGACTCCCTTCTATATTTTCTATTATGCTAGTGAGCTTCTGAGGTTCTTCTTCTTTGAGCATTAATTTGAGGCTTGCGATCTTCCTCTCTCTCACTAGAGATCTCTCTTCTGAATGTACTGTTTGACTATGTTTTTTGTCTGCTAACATTTTGGTTAACCTTATCCTACTCTTGCTTCAAGTGACTTTGGCTTTTTGCTAAAGTTCTCTAGAACTTTTCCTGTTTGCCTGTGTTCTGTTCGGTTTAAGCGCTGTATATTTCTCTTCTATTGGCTTACACGTAATATGTCGGATTAGTTATCTATCCATGTGAAGTTTGTTTACCTTGTTTTGTAACTCTTGTATTACGTTGAGTAATCTATGTGACAGGATGAATTCAAATCCCCAATTTTCTCCAAAAATTTCTTCGAATTTTCTTTAAAGCGGGTTTCCTTTTAGTTATTTTTTGAGTTTTCTAGGTTTTCCTTATCAATATATGTACTTTTAGATACTCTCTCTTTTTGCTTATTGCTACTTGTATTGTTTTTTAATGCTGTTTATTAGAAAATTATATTTTTTCTTTAGCTCAAAAAATGGTCAAAATAATCTACGAAGAGAATGTATTTATTTTATTTTATTTTATTTTATTTTATTTTATTTTATTTTTTTTATAAGTGATCTCTTTGGCTGGATACTTTATTAAATTTTTGTTATAATTTATTACAAGTAATAATTACAACTAGTTTAATATCTATGTACAACCTTAGAACTAATTTATTCTTGAGATATATTTGATCTAAATCATGACTAACCTATTATAGTCTTAATTAGGGTTTATGCTATGGCTATCTTTATTAGATCACCTTTTCTGTATTCACTGCATCACTCATATTCCTACAGAAATATTACTAAATAGGTACTATGGATTACATAGGGTATCGTAATTCTTATAGAAAACTTCTTGTTTGGTGTTTAGCTATCTAAACTTGTGTACCTTCTAATTAGCTTACAATGCTCAATCTAGGCTCACAACTAATACAACTACTGCAAGACTAGGTATATAGTATTTATAATGTATAACTGTATTTATATGCAGTACTACTATCAATACTAGACACTTCTGTGTATTGGTAGAGTACAGGTTATATTTTATAACAAAATTGCTCCCAACTAGATTCATAATATATAGTATTACTTCTAACTTGCTTCTGCATTGGCTAGTGTTTTTAATGTTGGTATGCTCTTGTACTCAGATATAATTGCACTACTAGCTGAGTGCTTCCTGCCAATTTGGGTTATTATGCATACTCTAAATAGTAGCCAATTCTCTACAGGACTGGGACCTTCCAATTCTAACTTTCACATGTACTAGAGATGTTTCACCTCTAGTCAGGACAATCCTTTATCACAGATTTCTATTATATCCACCACTTCACTCATTACTCTAGTTCATATTATCTTTGTATCATTCTCCCAAGCAAGTTCCTAACTGCTAGGAATGTTGATGCTGCCTAATCCTTCAAAAACTTATTTGTATAACACTCATGTAATAGAACCTTCTGTGACACCAACTGTCACACATAATGCTAACTTACTCTATAATATCAATATCCTTCTAGAAATTTCTTTCTAGAATCTTGTACTTCACATGGGTTTTACCACAGGGCTTTGCATTCGATTAATGGTTTTCATAAGAATTACAGAAGCAAATGCCTCCAACCAGACTCGAACTGTTAACCTTGTCTATGGAAGGTTGAGAGCTTAACCAACTAAGCCATAAGACCCAACCCGTTTTTTCTTTTTTTAATATTGATTTTTTTAAACTTTTATATTTTTTTTAATATTAATAATTTTAATATTAATATTTTGATATTAATTTTTTCTGATAGCTATTTTTTTTGAAAAGTTACTGCTACATATATTTATTAGAATGTTTAAAATTGCACCAAATATGCAATAACACTTCTTTTTTTATTTGTCATTATTCAGAAATATTACATTGATAGCTTATACGTATGAGCTATATTATATTATTAATTAGTTTAGAAAATTTTTCATGATTTCAATTTAGAAATTAAAATTTTTTGCTTTATTAAGAAAAGGGCATTTACTCATAAGAAATATTTTTTATTTGAATACTGCAAAACGAAAACATCAAAATCTTAACTTTCAGATATTTTCGCTTCATGGGATACGAATTTATCTCATAATTAAAAAATATTTAATAATAATTGGTAATCAGCAAATAGAAGGTTGTAATAATAAAGGAGTTAGTGTGTATAGATCAGTCTGATCTAAATTAGAAAAAATTATTAAATATTTGGTAGCCCACAGAAAAAAAATAGGAAATTTTTAATGCAACAGAAAAGATATTACTGTATAATATTAATGTGAATAAAAAATGATTGAAAGTGATTTTATATAACTTCAATAAATTGCTTTATGCTTAAAAGCAATCAGCAAAATAAATAAATTGAGTATTATTTCTCAGAGCGATGAAATAGTATGCATGCATGAACATAATATGGAAGCGATTCAGATAAAATGATCATCAGCTGAAAAGGAGGAGTGAGTCCAGAGTTGAATCCGATGAAATCTGTTTGGTCAACTACGGTTGTTCCTACATCTCTAACTTTTTGTATGACAGAAGCTGCGTATTGACCGTTATCTGAAAAATACAGATATTCAATTTGAGTATAATCCGTTGAGAAAAATCCTTTGCTACTTAGATTATAATGGGTGTTGACCGTGATATATCCCTTATTGCCAACAGGATCAGGATCAAAGCCGACATATGGCCTGGGGGCGTTACCAAAAGGCATGGGTAAATTTGTACAATCAGAGTAACCAGGATTAGCATTAGCCAAAGAAAACATAGCTAATACAATAAATATAAAAAAGAAATTTCGGTTCATAATTTTTTGGGGTTTGTTTTTAAGCTTGGTTATTTGTGAATTTATACGAAGAACGGAGTGCATAATTTATATAATGTGTGAAATGTTCCTTATGCTTTTTATCGTTATACTAAATTTATACAAGAATTAAGGTTCTTTGTATAGACAAAAAAAGTTAGCAGGCATTAGTTACAGTATAATGTCGACCGATTTAGTCGGTGCTATGTTCTTTCAAGAAAATGACTTTCGGAAAATCGTACCGTAACTAGGGGTGTGGATCGATTCTATATTATAGCGCTTTGCAAAAAGATGTGAACATGTGATTTTTGTGATGATAATAGCGGAGAATCATTGAGATTATTCAAATTTAAGAATCTATACGTACTAAATAATATAATATAATTACGTATATATCATATTATTGCGCTTTGCAAAAAGGTGTGACCCTGTGATTTTCTTTGTGACGATAGAGGAAAACTTCTGTGATTCTAAATTTCCTATTGATCAAATATTTTAGTATATACCGATACGTAATTAGAAAATTACATTATACATATATTTAAAAAATCTTTGAGGTTCTTTGAAATCCGATTCTCACATGACAAAACGATCTGCAGTGTTCACATCTTTTGATTCTATAATAATCGTTTTAATCGTTAATCGTATAAAACAATTCTATTGCGCTCATGATGATCACAGTGAAAAGCGCCATAATAAATATACAGTATGATATAAATATTATCAATAAAGTGTGTTATATTTTTTTGTTCACATAATTATGGCTACTACAACTAGAGCTAAACGTCATCAACTTGAAACGCAACTAAGTATTTTATTAACTGATGATTTAAGCATTATATTTAGGATTCTATCATTACCCCTAACCGTAACACATGTAATTCATCTTTTATTTCTAAAATAGTTGTGCAAAACTGATCAAAAAATACATCATTTTGAAAATAAATAATTTCTTGTTATTTGGCATGATACAGTTATCTCTCATATAATTATCGTAGTATGAGATATATAGGATAGTTAATTAAATAAAATGAAAAGTAAGTTAGCTGCTAAGATAAAAAAGAAATAATAAAGGTTAACGTATAACGATATCGATAAACCCCAAATGAACTCAAATGTGAATGTATAGAAATCATTCACCAAAACTTCTGATTTTCAAGCTTATCATTATATATATTACTATCAGGTTTTTAAAGGGCCAAATACGGTAGATAAAATTGAAATCCCGAAGTTCATTTTCCTTAGCAGCTCTCATTAATGATAGTTCAATTAGTCAGAAATAACAAAAGTATGGTATTTTTTTTTTTTTTTTAGCGCTTTGCAAAAAGATGTGAACATGCGATTTTTGTGATGATGATAGCGGAGAATCATTGAGATTAAGAATCTATACGTACTAAATAAATATAATATAATTACGTATATATCATATTATTGCAGATCATTTTGTCATGTGAGAATCGGAGATTTTGCGCTTTCAAAGAACCTTAAAGATTTTTTAAATATCTAATTATGGCGCTTTGCAATAAAGTGTGACATTGAGATTTTTGTGATGATGGTAGTTGAAATTTCAGAGTTTAGATTTTATATCAATTATATATTTCAATAAACAATTTGTATATATTGTTTATTGCTGTTTGCAAAAAGGTGTGACCCCATGATTTTTGTGATCATGCGGGGAAATTTTAAATAGAGAATTTAATAAGAGAATTTAATAGAGAATACATAATAATTTGCAATCATACTTGAAATCAGTAACCTTATCAGAAATTCTCTTATTAAATTCTCTATTTAAAATTTCCCCACATCATCACAAAGAAAATCATGGGGTCACACCTTTTTGCAAAGCGCTATAAAATCTTTAAAATTTTCGAGAATCAAAAAAAATCTGCAGATTTTTTGTAATTTCACATGACATCGTGATCTGCAGATGTCACTTTACGTATTGAAAAGCGCCATAATATGAATAGTTTTTAAGGAAGTGTAAATGACAATAAGAAATTGAACCCGTTAAGGAAATTCTTACTATATTTCGGGTATACATATAACAGCAATCTTTATACGTAATATATAAACGAATTTTAGTCAAATTCATAAATTCACGCATTTCAAACTTTATAACCTAACTTAAATCATAAACAAGATACAAGAATAATGAATAAAAACTTTATTTTTATATTTATATCATTGACTATGTTTTCCATGGTTAATGCTAATGATGGCTGGACTAATTGTTATGACAAAAACATTAACCCTTATTTTCAAGAGCCAAACATTCAAGCGTTGTCTGTAGATTGGGATGAAGGTTCTCAAGACCCATTTATTCTATTTAATACTAATTCCGATACAGTAGATCCTCCTTTCACCCGGGCTAGCAAGCTCGTATATGTTATTCAGAATTATGATGGTTCGTATGCGTTTAAAATGACATTTCACGATATTTTTCCAGGATCGACTCAACTTAATAGAAGAGATTATGTTGGAGTAACTCGTACTTTTCTACGAGACTACTATATTTATGTTGTTTTATATGATGAGGATCCATTTAAAGTTAGGGGCTGTATATTTTTTGATCGAAAAGCAAGTTAAACTAGTTTAAAATTCCTCCATAATTCTATACAATTGAATTATTATTATTTTTAACTTTTTAAAATCTATTATTCGTTCGAATTCTTATTATTTATTTTTAATGTTTTTTTTTTTTTTAATTTAAATTTAAGATTAGCTACAATAATAAAAAGGTATTATCTCTGTTTGCATATTGATGCTCGATTGTCGATTGTACGTGATTGTACGTCATTTTATGTGATTTCTCGACAATAATCTAATCAAAATTTTTTTTATTTGAATTTTATGAATCTACTGAATTCAAATAAAAAAAAAAATTCATTGAATTGATCAGGTGGTTGCTGAGATATCATCGCTCAATGTTTTTTTTTTAAATGTCAAAAATAGAAGCTGCGCCAAATTTTCCTAAAGTTTGAGTGAAGATATTTCAGCAACCATCTGATAAAATTCGATAAATTTTTTTTTCATTCAAATTATATAGATCCACAGAATTCAAATAAAAAAAATTTGATCAGATGGTTACTGGGATATCTTTGCTAAAAATAATATCAAAAATCAAAGTTGCACTAAATTTCCCTAAAACTTGAGCAAAGATATCTTAACGACTATCTGACTAAATTTGATGATATTTTTTTTTATTTGAATTCTATGAATCCATAGAACTCAAATAAAAAAAAAATTATGAATTTGATTAGGTAGTTGCTGAGATATATTCGCTCAATGTTTATTAAAACCACCTGATCAAATTCGATGATTTTTTTATTTGAATTCTATGGATTCATAAAATTCAAATAAAAAAAATTTTATCAAATTTAGTCAGATAGTTGTTGAGATATCTTTGCTCAAGTTTTAGGAAAATTTAGTGCAACTTTGATTTTTGATATTATTTTTAGCAAAGATATCCCAGTAAGGCTATAAAAAATAATTTTTTTGGTTTTCATAACATAAAATTTTAAAACAAACCTGGCAACTCAGCTTTTTTTTTCAACTTTTATATATAAAAATTGTATAAAATTTTTTTTAAAAAACCCACCTGGTTATTATAACATATAAAAAAAAAAAAGTTTCAAAAAGTTTAAATTTTGACTCGGCCGGGTTATGTAAACTAAGAAAATTTTTTCATATGGCCTAACTATCTGATCAAATTTTTTTTATTTGAATTTTGTAGATCTATATAATTTGAATGAAAAAAAAAATTTATCGAATTTTATTAGATGGTTGCTGAAATATCTTCGCTCAAACTTTGGTGAAACTTCTATTTTTGACATTTTTTAAGAAAACTTTGAGTGATAATATCTCAGAAACCACCTGATCAAATTCAATAAATTTTTTATTATTTGAATTCAATAGATTCATAAAATTTAAATAAAAATTTCATCAAGAAATCACATAAAATCATGTATAATCACTAGTGTTTATCGCGGTTTGCAAATTGATGTATTTTTTGATCAATTTGTAGATTACTGCATACTCAATTGTTCAATTAAAATCAATTATATACAATTATAGGTAATTTATAGTAATTTTATAAAATTGTAGAATTAATTTGTAAATAAATATAAGAATAAAGGTTTTAGTTAGCACAAAAATAGGTTTAATGTAGTTTTAGTTTGTATTTCAAGCAAGTAGAGTTTTTTTTTGAATAAGTTAATTATACATAATTGTAGATGATTTATGGTAATTGCACAAAATTGTAGAATTAATTTGTAAATAAATATAAAAATAAAGGTTTAAATTAGTATAAGTTTAATATAACTTAAATTTGTATTTAAGCAAGTAAAGTTTTTTTTTTTTTTTGTCAAATAAGTAAATTTAAAATTATACAAATGACTCTTAGTGATAATTTAAAGTTATACATAGTTAATCTTACTCATGATAGTTATAGTAAACAAGAAATTGTAAAACTTTTATATATAAGTAAAAGCTTAGTACAAAAAATACTTCAAATATATAACAAATAGCATCAAATAAAAAATTCAGTTAAAGAAGCTTCAGATCAAAAAAGAATATTTAATAATAATGAAATAATAGTAAAATTTGTTTATTTATTATATAATAAATAAAAATTGAACTACAGCTTAGAAGTCTCTTGAATTACAGATCTAAAAGAGAAAAAGTCTAATCAACTCCAAATATCAACTTCTGTTCTGGCATTCATGGATGACATATTATGGATAGCTCCTTTAAAGGATAAGCTTGAGCAGATTCTAATACTTGCTTCATCCTTTTTCACAATGGCTAACATACAAGTCAATCCACTCAAGTCTATTCTCAGTACTAATGCAAAAAAACCAATATCTATTAAATTTTTACAACAATCTATTACTCCATTAGCTTTTTTTTTTTTTTTTTTTTTTTTTTTTTTTTTATTTAATATGTTAAATATAGAAAGTAATAGTTTACATAGTAAATATC